TGGGAAGGACAATAAAATCTGTAACCCTTTGAGTGAGAAGGATAACCAATGAAGTAGCAAGTTACAGTTTTCATGTCGAGTTTCTTCAAGAAGGGATTATATAGTTTAGCTTCGGCAAGACAACCCCATACTTTCATATATCTTAGACTCGGTTTCCTTCCTGTCCAGAGTTCATAAGGAGTTTTAGGGACAGCTTTAGAAGGAACCCTATTGAGTATATGAACGGCTGTTTTTAAGGCCTCGGTCCAGAGAAATAGAGGTAAACCTGAGTTGGCTAACATATTGCGTACCATGTCCATTAGGGTCTTATTTCTTCTCTCAGCAACACCATTCTGCTGAGGAGTACCGGGCATGGTATATTGGTTCAAAATCCCCTGGGACTTACAAAACTCATAAAATGGACCAGGAGCTTGACCCACATCAGTATGTCTACCATAATATTCACCTCCTCTATCTGATCTTACAACCTGACGATCAAGTTGTTTTTCAACTTCAGTTTTATAATCTTTAAAAGTTGTAAGTGATTCAGATTTTTCCTTAATAAGATACAAGTACATATATCGAGAATAATCATCAATATAAGTGATAAATGAGTTATGTCCAGTTATGCCAGTGATAGAGTAAGGACCACTAATGTCAGTGTGAATGAGCTCTAATAAATTAGAACTTCTAGTGGCACCTTTCTTATTCACTGATGTCATTTTACCTTTAAGGCATTTGACACATGTTCAAAAATCATTGAAATCGAGAGATGGTAACACTTCATGCTTCACGAGTCTAGATAAACGTTCTTGTGAAATGTGGCCTAAGCGTTGATGCCACAACATGGATGAAGTTTCTAAGTCTCGTTTTCGTTTTCTCTTTGTTAGTGTCTGATTGATATTATATGACAACAAAGATTTGGAAAAATCATCATCTAGTTCTAATTTATACAGACCACCATCCAGAAAACCATGACCAAACACTTGAGAATTGAAACTAATAGTAAGTCTGCCATGACCA